TGTGCGTAATTCGCTACACATCATCTCGTTAGCTCAGGATGAACCAATGGACTAGTATTGTCAAATTAAAAACCCTTGTTGCGTTAAAGCTTTGTATTTTCCAAAACACAACACTATGTACAAAAACTTAATGTATAAAACCTTAACCTACACATAACCTTGTTTATGTGCAGATTTCCCAAAATTATATTCCTTGAATTACAAACCCGATACGAGAGCGCCTACTCGTCATGAAAGAAGCAAAAGTACTTCTCTTTCTGAAATTCTTTCCGAAAAACTGCCTGGCTCCTCCTTGAACCTTTTTTTATTGCCACTTGTTTTCAAGTTTCGATCTGCCTGCATATAACCCATAATGTCCCAAAGAGTAAGTTAGCACGTATAATCGCAGCCCTTCTAAATGTATATTTTTCAAAAAGGAGCAGACCAAATATTTTTTCTAGGAAATCTGAATAAGCGCGGTGGAAAAGAAAAAGTTGGAAGCGTTCGAAATGTAGTGTTACAGAAGAAAAGAGGACGCAATAAATGTTAGCTTATAGAAAGGCTGGTAGGACACCTTCTCAGGCGTGAAGACCTAGTTAGAAAAATATTGAAAGCAGAAACAGGAGTTAAGAAAGATGCTTTAGTCTTAGGGAAATGCGAAGATTAGTTCAGGATAGGAAAGAGTGAAGGTGTCTGTGCAACCCGTCTTAAGACTGACAACCTTATGATGATGGTTTGTTAGAATTCAGAAATTATATTATTAGTGGAGGTTTCAACCTTGAAATATATGCAGCATCACGTGATATCGTTCACTGTCACTTTGTATACCTAGTTGAAAATTTAAAAGAGAATTCGTTATTAAAAGTAAAATTTGACGAGGTGTTTTCATATAGGCATCACAAAAAGAAGAATAAGTACAATGAAATTTTTTTCAAAAGTATAAATTACTTAAAAATATGCTTTTAATTTGCAATATTAACCAAACGTTAAGAATTTATAGTTTGTAATTTGTAGGGGGCGAGCGCAAACTGTCATCCAAGACCAGTTGAAAACTAACTGGTCGTGCCATCTGCTAGGTGCATTGCAAAAGTAAAGTGCGTATAACTTCTGTTTAACATAAACGCTGCAGATTACATTTAATTTATATACTATATTATGCGTAGCAGGTTTCTGTATTTTGTATTCTATTGTGACAAGTTTAAGAATGAAGTAAAACTTTGCTCATACTAATAAGCAATATGAGCCTCTTTTTAACTAAAAAACAACTTACCTTTTCGTTAAAGTTGCCTAATGGTGGAAGCTGAAACAAACCAAATACTGTTAGATATGTATCTTTTATTTTTTGATCTAAAAAAATAATATCTAATTAACAACACATTAATATATATAAATTATGTTAGGGTTATTGCATATTTACCTTTAAAAAAACTGACAATGAGTATTACATTGTTTATTATAGATTCATGATTTTTTTTTGGGCTATGGTGTAACGGTGTAACCCCTGTATCACGAACAATTCCCTACAGTGCAGACATTACATAAACTTGATTGGTTTGTCTCATAACGTTATGGCCTATGCTAAAATTGCATAGCTACAGTCCATCATTATAATTTTGCTTTATCTAAAAGAAGTAGGTATCTACTCAAAATTTCTTGTAAAATTCTATTGTTTCTTTAAAATTACTTTAGAAATAATTAAGAGAATTGCTGCAAACAGAGTAGTGAACGCCACCTATAGAAAACTGATACATTTCGAGGGATTGAAAAATTTTACAATGGTCCATATGGGTATCGACTTCTCGAGCTTTTTGTTCTCTTTGGTAGCGTTTTTTCCATCAACGTTTACTAATGGACATGCCTTAGCGGTCAGAATTGTGGTACAATAAAAGAAAGAGATGGAACGAAGTTTCGGACAGTATCCATCTCTCTCAGGATAGTGCGTAAGCGTGTCAGGAAAGAGATAGCATTAGTCCGAAACCATACGCCATCTCCCTCACTTTTCGAGCCAAGAAATTATTACAATGATAAACCGCTAAGGCACGTTAATTAATTAATGTCTATGGTTTTTACCATGAAGGATGCTTATGCCGTAGGCTCAGTTTGAGAAGTCGATATCCTTGTGACCTTGTCGAACATTTTTTAATCCTATAAAATGTAGCAGATACAGTTTACTAGTGGCCCTCTATCAAACTCTTTGAAACTTTGGACTTTGGTAGTTCCCGCCGTGTAAATTGAAAGTATCGATGGGCGCTAAGTCGTAAAAGTTTATCTTTTTGAGATATGATCCCTTAAAGTTGCATTCTTCCGTAAGGACTTCCAAGGGACAATTACACCTAGTATACTTATTGAACACGTTAAAGTATATAAGCATATATTGATGTAGTATATCCATGTGTATTGGATGTTATGGATGTGTAGGGTTGCCATTCGTTCTAAGGCATACGAGGAGCGTCCGGAAAGGATTATCAAAAATTGTCCACTTTTTGTGTTAGCGGAATCCCAATTAATTGGAAAATAAGCAATAAATTAAAACAAACCTCATATAAGAATTGATTTGTAAGAGTGAATACACGATTTCTTCTATGAATAATATCAAGTATAAATTTAGGAATCGTAGTTGCTTCGATTCTTACAAATTCCGGATGGAAAAAAAGACATTTTAGCAAAAATTGGATAGTTTGAAAAGTAATAAAATAAGTAAAAAAAAAACTAAACCAAAAATTCTAAATAACTTTGATGCCAAAAAGAAGAGTGTTCCTAATTATTATGTTACCAGATTACTTGCGATGATCTTCACTCTAGGTATTCTGATTACCTCAGAAAGTGAAGAATATAGAAGAAGCAACACGGAATCTGTTTACAGTTGTATCCAGACCTAGGTCAGTAATTTCAGTTATTATTTAATGTTTATACACAACACAAAAAAAAATCTGACCTGGGGATCTGACTATGTATCTATACTGTATATATATACCCTACTACGCCTGAGTTTGGACATAACCTCAAAAAATATTTCAAAATCCACTAAAACTGTTTATCATAATAATCCCAAACGATTTTAAACCGAAAATCCGTAACCAATCAACTCTTCCACTAAATGTGCAACTTTAAACCCCTAATCCTAAAACCTAACAACCCCAAAATCTTATATCCCCGTAATCAAAATACAAAATTATGAGGTTATGAGGTTTTATGATCAGAGATTTAAAGGATTATGAAGTAATACATTTAGTGGAAGAGTTGATTGGTTACGGGTTTTAGTTTTAAAATCGTTTGGTATTATCATGATTAACGGTTTCAGTGGATTTTGGAGTGTTTTTTGAGGTTATCTTCAAACCTTGACGTGCTTGGGTATACATAGTCAGCTCCTCAGTTCAAATTTTTTTTCGTAGTCAATGATTAATATGATTGTACTTTCTATATAACAAAAAAACCATAAAACTCTTGACGTACTTTCCTCTTATCGCTGCCAACATAATAATATAATACCTCCAATGCAAATACGAAATATTTTTATTACTGTTTACATTTGTACTTTGGAACTTTCAAGTGATTGGACAACGAACAGTTTTGTTTTATTCGTATTAATTAAAAAGTACGTACAAAGGTACTACAACACAATGAAATGAATGCAGTACAATAGTCAAGAAGCCGCTGAAATAATTGAAAACAAACAACATTATATCATCAACGAAATTAGGAGGAATTTAAGTGGACACATTAAAATTGTAAACTAAAATGAAGTACATACGAGTTAACTAATCAGATTTGCGATCTTTTGTAATTATACTCAAACATCCATGTTTGGAACATCCTAGATTCCACCAATTAATTATATTCGAGTTAGAGAAATTTTGAGTTAAGGAAATTTCGACTTTAGCAGCTGATTCAATAATTGCCGAAAATGGTAGGTACGGTAAATTTCGGGTACAACGTCGACGAATGTAATTTCGTCGTTATACCCGGAAGTTGTTAGAGGCAATGGTAAAGAGATACAGACAGTTTGTCTAGTATTCACAATTTTTCAATTTTGAAACGATTTCCGCCTTTTTTTTAACAGTTGAATGTGCACCTAGGAGTCATACTTATTCAAAAGTTTACTGAACACAATTGCTACTCAGAATATCAATTTGTAACTGAACATACACGCTTATCCACCTACCTGGCTAACATCTGTAAACAAATGGTAAAGGTCACCACACTTGCTGACCATCTGTGTGGATGTAAACAAAAGATAAGAAAGCTCTTATGCCTTTGGCCACAGACTCCGGTCGCTATATCTGTATGAGATTTCTTGGGATTTGTTACAATTGATTCATTAAAAGCAGTCGCTACATCTAAACTCGGCGTTACATGGTTACATCCGAAGTCGCTTTAAATTGAAGGGCTGTAGCAAAATGGTCGCTATAACCAAGGTTGTTATAAATCAAATTCACTGTATTTTTATGTAACGCCAGAACTAATCGATAGCAATTCAACATTGTTGTTGATTGTTACTGTAAAAACATAAAACTTCGAGCTATTTATTATCGCTGTGGCTAATTTTTCCGAAGAACATAATATAAATTCAACTTAAGGAGACAAAATATGCACTCGAGTCTAGATCAATTTTAAGGTAGAGAAATTCGAATTAAAGGATTTAAAATAATAGGTATGTAAGTCAAGGTAACAAAAAAATATTCAACTCAGAACAGATACCGAATAATAGATCCACTGTATGCATATGTATAATGAAGAGTTTTTAACATGGAACTTTAAGCCGCCATTGTGAAGTATTAAGTAATATCTGTGGAATGAATCAAGATTAACAAGGGTAGTAGAGTTTTATTTTACGTATAGGACCAACACTAACGTTTCGCCTCTAGTTGTGAGACTTTATCAAGCTAGATTCTGTAATTAATAGCAAGTTGCTTTCAAATAGTTTGGTGTTAGCAAAAGATACGTTGTAAAGTGAAAAAAACATTTAATTAAACAACACCATTATAAATATAATAAAATAAATCAATAAATAGTTAAAAATATACTAACTTAAACACAGCACTGGATAAAATAATAAATTATTATTGATGTTGAGTGTTATATAATGTCGTCACGTGATAATCCTAGCCGACCCATCGATAAAGGCGTTGCACGAGTGATTTCGTGAATAAACGTGTAATAAAGGTAAAAATATAGGTTTAACAATTCAGGAGTGACATATCATTCACGTGTTTAATAGTATTCTCGATTCCGGTAATTGTTCAGAATTGATGCTCCAGACCAAAATCGCTCCAAAAATTTTTTCATCGATTTCCGGTCATTATACATACTAGAATTAGATATTGGAATAGTGATTCCGACCCTGGGGTTAATTACCCCCGCGGAGGTAAATAAATTATTCTGTGCGGAGGTAAAGCAATTATAGCGCAGGGTCGTGTCGCCTTTAATAAAAAGAAGTCTCTTCTATGCTAGTGAACGGTTAATTTAGAAATTCGAAAAAGGTTGTTAAAGGTGTATGTTTGGAGCACGGCATTGTACGGGTGCGAAACATGGACAGTGGGCGTGGCGGAAAAGAAAAGGTTAGAAGCGTTCGAAATGTGCTGTTATAGGCGGATGATGAGGATAACGTGGGTAGAAAAGGTTAGAAATGAAGAGGTATTGGAAAGAATAGGAGAACATAGGACTCTATGGAAGTCAATAAAAAATAGGCGAGATAGGTTGGTAGGACACCTTCTCAGTCATGAAGGTCTAGTCACAGACATATTAGAGGCAGAAATAGGAGTTAGGAGGGGTAGAGCTAGACCTAGATTAGATTACTGTTCGCAAATATAGGGTTGTTCGGAAAGTCATTTCGTTTTTTCCCGACAGAGGATTTAATTGTATTCTTTTGCACCCAACTTCACATTTAAGCCGTATAATTTTTGTATGCTTTGAGAGCTCATATAGCAAGGCTTGTGTGTGNTTTATCTTCAACATTCAATGGGTTGTACTTAACAGTATATTAATTATATTTTTTATTGTATCCTTTGTACATCTGCTTTTGTTAAAAGCAGTTAAAGACGTGCACGAAATTTTAAACTCGTCTCTTTACATTTAATGTTGATTTTTTGGTCGTGTTGATATAGGTGAAGGTCAAGTTTAACTTAATTGCGTAATCATTAAGCCTCTTTACGTAACCTTGAAAAGTTTCGTATTCACTAGATATTCAGCGCTAACAATAATAATAATAATAATAATAAAGAACTTCCGAATATCGTATATTATATACATATATATATGTACATAAATCCATCTATCATTTATACACTGTCTACGTCTGTT